TGCAGGGCTGGAAAAGAAGGCTTGCCCCAAAGCAGGGGAGGGAAGGAGAGTAGGGATCTGGGGATCATAGGAAGGAGAGGGAGACCCCACACTCATTGCCAGGCTCCCCCGGTGGGGCAGCTCAGGGGAGGCGGGCAGTGATTGGCACTTGCGGGGGGCAGTGGTGGGGCTTGAGAAGTCGCACTCCATCTCTATGGCGGGCTCGGGCGTCACAGGGGTGGTAGGTTGGAAGGAGGTGGGGGGCGGCAGGTCAAATGTGAGTGAGATGACGGACTTGCTCGGTGTGTCGAAGAGCTTGATCTTTCCCCCCTTCAGGTCCTCACGCTGGGAGAAGGGATTGACACGAGGGGACGTTTCCTTGGTCCTGGTCCCACCACAAGTCTCCGGCATCCACAGCAAGGCAGGTGATTTGGAGGAAAACACATCAGACTGGCTGCGGGACAGGCGCTGGTCTGGCTGCAGGTGCTGTGTCCCCAGCTCATGCAGGGGTGACTGCTCAGCATGGCTGGATGCGTTCCCGGCCACCCCTAGGCACAGGCACAGGAGTGGGTCACCAGCCGCCAGAAGCTGCCATGGGGTGCCAGGCACCCAACATCACAGGATTGCACCCTGAGGGGGGAACCGTGACTGACTCCAGCCTGCAAATCTCACGCAACACCTTCTCCTTCCCCCCCACCTGCCAGGGTAGAATGGGACACCCCACATCCACCTTCCTTGCACTCGGCTATGGCCCATCCCCAGGGCGCCCACGTACCGTTGAGCGTGGCTGCCATCCCAGGTGTGGGCAGGCTCTCCCCACTGTCAAAGAGGGTAACTCCTGCGTCGTCACCGTCCAGCTGGTGCAAGATGCTCTCCAGGCACAGTGTGATTTCCAGGAATGAGGGGCGTGAGGCGGGGTCCATCTAAGGGCAGGAGAAGTTCCCCGTCAGGTCTGCGGCCCCCTAAGTGGCCCAGCCCAGCAGAGGCAGGTCCCTGCCTCTTCTGCTGTGCAGGCAAGGCTGCCTGTCCTGCCCGGCTGTGCTGGCAGGGAAGGGTGGTGGAGATGGCAGCTCACACTGCAGCAGTGGAAAGCAAGCTGGAGGAAGGACACCGGGCAGTCAATTTCCACCATGGTGCTGAAATTGATGATGTCCAGGCCAAAGTCCTGCACCAGGTAAAAAGGAGGAAGAGTGAGGCTGGGTTCTTTGGGGTATCACATGGCTTAGGGGAGCCAGGATCGCCTGTTTCCCCTCCCCTTACTGACTACATGCTGCCCAGGACTGCAGACCTGGGCAACACCCCAGCTGAGGCACAGCATGGGAAAACCCTGGGGTGCTCCCCAAGTTGGGGCAAGGCTAGGGGATCATAGAATCATAGAATCATAGAATGGCATGGGCTGGAAGGGACCTTAGAGATCATCTAGTCCAACCTCCCTGTCATGGGCAGGGATGCCACCTCTCGACTAGACCAGGCAACACATGGGGACCGAGCAGGAATCGAACCCGCGACCTCGGTGTTGGTCATTGTTGTCAGCACCGTGCTCAAACCACTGAGCTAACCGGCCCCTTAATGCTGGAACACAGGTCCCTCCTGCTCCCTGCCTGAATCCCACTGTCTGCTTTTCCCATCCAGGCCAACTATGGACTCTAAGGACAGGTTATTGGCAGAGGGCATCCCTCCCCGGGCAGCATTTGGGATGCAGCACCCCTGCCTGAGATGTAGGGCAGATCCTGCACATGGGGCTTTGCCCAGCACAGTGGGACTTTCCCTCTCATTTAGTGAAGTGGTCCCAGCTGGGGTGATGCTGCCTGCCACCCTCCCATCCCCTGTGCCCATCCCAGGGAGTCACCTCAGTGCGGGGCAGGTAGTCAGGGTCAGCAGGGATGCGAGCGATGGTCTCGCACAGCACGATACCGTAGGAAAACACATCGGCCTGTAGAGAACAGGGAGTCACGGAGCGGTCCAGCAGCCCTGATGTGATGTGTCCACAATTCTGTGAACCCACAGCACCCTCCTCCCTGTGGAGTAACACCGGGGGCCCTCACCAACCAAGAGATGCCCAGTTCCTTCCCTCTGTGTGCCCAAACACCTCCAGGACTGTAAATCCCACAAACCAGTAGTGGCATAAGCCTGGATAAAGCCCCACACACGGCAGCCACAGAGCCTCACCTTCTCATCGTAGATCTCCCCTCGCAACACCTCAGGTGCCATCCAGTACGGGGAGCCCACCACTGCCAGAGGTTCCTTCTCACTGTCCTCACTGGGGGACATGGTGGGACATGAGGCATTGCCCATAGCCCCCTGTTCCTGCCCAACCATCCATCCTTCTACTGAGGCAGCCAAAATTAACATCTCCATCTCCCCTCCCAGGCTAACTGTCCTCCATGCACCTCACAAACTCACCTCTCCCCACTCACACCTTCCCCTTCTCTGTCTCCTAGACAGCTCTAAATGTGTTTAACTGTCCCACAAATCCCCCACTGCCTTTGTAGCTGCACCCCACATGTCCATCCCTCCCCAGCTCCTGCTCCAAGTAGGCTAGAAACCCCCCACTGCAATGATGGGGATGGATGCTGCCCACGCACCTGTACATCGGGATCTTCTCCGCCAAGCCAAAGTCACCCACCACAGCTGTGTAGCCATTGTCCTCACAGCGTACCAGGCAGTTCTGGGGACACAGGAGACCTCTGTCACAGCAACCACATCAGCACTGCCTCACTGGCCACTGCTTCCAGCACGCCCGAGCACAGTGCAGCCAACTGGTCCCCAGCTGGCCATGTGGGGCCAGTGACACAGGTATGGGACAACGGGGGCAATGGGATGCCTTGGAGCATCCCGTACCTTGGAAGTGAGGTCACGGTGGAAGATGCCCTTGGAGTGCAGGTAGTGTAGGCCACAGGCAATGTCGAGGGCCAGCTTGACACGCACGGACCAGGAGAGGGGCACGGGGCTGTCCAGCAGCTGCTCCAGATTCCCACCGTTGATGTACTGATGGGAACAGACAGGCCATTGCATCACTGCACCTCCCTCCCTCTCGTAATGCTGGATGCCTATCTCTCATCCCAACGCTTTTCCCAAACATCCCATGGAAAAGAACCCCAAGTAGACCTTGCCCTGCGTGAGCATCTCCACAGCCATCACTGTGTCCTACCAACACCTGTAGGAACCCCGAGACTCAGGGCTGTGGCCCCGCTCTCACCTCTGTCAGGGCGTGCAGCTGTCCCTGGTGCACACACACCCCCATGAACCTGTGAGAGACAGAGGGAGAGAACAGCTGAGAGTGGTCATGGCAGGGACCAGCCCCAGGAGCTCATCCAGTGCCAGTGGTAGCTCTAACCCCCTCAGGACAGCAAAAACGGGGACAATGGGGAAAACAGTTGAAGGGAAGGTCCTACCTGAGGATGTTGGGGTGCGAGAGGCGGTTCATCAACTGCACCTCCCGTAGCATGTTGCTCCGGTTGCTGGTCAGCTTGTTCATCTTCAGCACCATGATCTGCCCCGACTGGCGGTGCCGCACCTGGAAGGGGGTGCAAGGGAGGCTGAGCCCCACGCATCTCACCCCAGCCCTAGAGACAGAAGCTGAGCACCTCACACACCCAAGGCATGGGGAATGCCAGGGATTACCAAGGAGGAGGCTCTGCTGGCACAGCAGCACCCCAAGGACCCCCAGAGCTGATGATGCACATCCTCATCTTCCCTGGGGCACTCCACTTGTCAAGCCCCACTACCCCTACGCACCACTACACGGTCCAGCCCTCTCGGAGAGACAACAGCAGCTTCTGCAAGCTGTGACCCCCAATCCTGCAGCAAGCACAGGTGAGTGCAGGTTTGGGGTACAGCAGAGAGGGCCAGATTCTACCAGCACAGAGTGGAGGACAGAGGGGGCACACGTCCCTCAAG